TTTTTGTTGCGTTCAAAGCGATGCCAACTGTCTCCTTCCCTTCGTGTACTTGTATCGTTTCAGAAACATTTGCCAACTTAAGAGGAGATGTGATAACAGGTGTTTCGATCGATTTAAGAGGCACCAATTCTTCCGCGTTAACTTTCGAACTACTCACTGTTGTATGTTCTTCGGATTTAAATGTTTCTATGGGTTTAGCATTAGACGCGATGGAAGTAACTGTTGTTTCTTCGATCGTGTTCATTTCTTTCTTTTGAGGCGAAACTGATTTTTTTTCTGACAATGTATCAACTTTGCCATTTACAAGTTTTAAAGATGATACCGATACTAAGAGGGGCATCTGAACGCGATTTGACTCTATAGCTTCCATTTTTATAGTTTCCTGAGAATCGTCCTCTTCGGTATTTTGTTTAGAACTTTCATCGTTCGACAATTCATCCTCGATTTCCAATCCCTCTTCCGCATCGTCGTCAGCTTCGTTACTACTACCTTGGTGTCGTTCGATCTCAAGCTCAAAGTCTTCACTTTTCATCTTTTCCATTTTCTTGACGCTTGAAACTTCAATTCGAATACCATTTTCTTGCAAAGCCTCATCCTCCAGACTCGGCGATGTCGTAATTTGTCCCGTATCGATAATAGGTTTTTCGGAAATTTCTAAACTATTACTATCTTCGTTGATCGGAATAGGTCCAACCTCTCCATTCGATAAAGTGCTTATGAGATTAACGACGCCTTCTCGATCCCTAGTATCAAAAAAATAATAACTCTGTATTTACATTGAAATATTTCAAAGGCACTCAAGAGTATAAAACGTATACAAACTGAAAACATACTTAGCCACAAGTTCCCAATTCTCTTCATCTACATCTTCTCTATAAACCCTTATATTGCACTCTTCGTCAAGTTGACACCAATATGCCAATCCAGATTTATCTCTCCCCAATGGTTCCACGCGTAATTCGTTAGCTGCAACTTTATTCACTTCATTTTTAAACTTTTGATTCAAGTCAAATTGCGTTTCCAGAAGAACCTGTAACAATAAAAACTTTTCAGATTAAATTGAATTTGATAATTATACATACGTTACTTTTAAAATAATTTAAATCTTATAGAATATAGTAATGTAATGATTTTAATACCTTGAGTAAACGTAGCTTGACAGCAATACGGGCTTTCTTGTAACCAAAACGCTCGAGTTCCCATCCATCCTGATTAGAATATGTATGGCAAAATTTAACCAGTGCTCGTTCCCACTTTTCTGGTGATACTGTTTTCCGTGTTTTGCGTAACAATTTGATGTGGAGATCTATCAACTGTTGTGGTACTACAACAAGAAGAAATTATTAATAAACAGAAATAAGTTCAGGTATAGAAAATGATAAATATTCGCGAATGATGGAAATAAATCGAAAATATTCATTAACATAACATTGCTATTTACGTACGACTAAAAATAAAAAGTAAATCGATGATAATTTATAAGTTATTTTTGCCGTATAATAATATATTAAGTGTCCCGCATAAAATAACGAAGCGATTGAGTATATCGAAATTTCAAATATAGCGTATATCGAGAATTCGACGCGCGATTCATAACTCGTAATCACGTGTAACCGACGTTGACAACAAGGGAGGTGGCAGCACGGGAGAAAATAACAACAGAGCAGAGCAAATCAAACTTAACTGTCAATAATATTATTATTCGAACGTATCGACGAATCGTAATCACAAGCAATTATTAAACATTGTTAACCGAGGGTTTGCCGTCTAATAACTGTTTTACAAAGCTACGAAAAAAAAAAACAAAAGACAAGAGAGACTGGAAGAAACGATGTCGCGAATTGTGATGGGGAAAAAAAGGACGAAAACAGTCATGAGTATCGTGTTTACTTAGACGAAACGATCGGTTCGCGTATAATTAAAAAGCAAACGAAGGCGTCGAACAATGTGAAAATCGGTAGGAGAAATACGTCGAAACGTAGAGAGAAAAAACTAATATCGCACGCAAGACTTTTGGCCTCGCGGGGGCGGGTCAATCATTCTCTCTCTCTTTCTCTCTTTCCCATGCATACACGTATGCACGCTCGAGTTTACTCACCATCCTGCGTATTTTCAAGCATCTCTTGAAGGCGCGCGATATCTGGATAAACGATCCCACAGGACTTGCCGAAGCACTCGAGAAACGAACAGATCACAGCGAAATTTGGGTCACTCGCGCAAGAGGCTTCGTTATCGGACGCCATTTTTCCGCCGCTTCTCTCTGGGCCCGTCGCCGCTAGGCGATATACTACGCTAGGCGGCCTAACAACTCGTATCGCATTTTCGTCCAACTGTTTTCGGTGATCGTTAGTCTAGTTACAGCTCATCCGTTAAAATAATAATGCGTTTAGGAAACAATCGAACGCCGGCCTTATCGGAAGGTGTTCCGACGCCGTTTCCCGCTTCGTTGTTTTTCGCTATACCTTGATGTTCTACCTGCCACTCACACCCGCATCGAAACCACAAACGTACACGAATAAACACACGCGTCAGAGAAACCAGAACGCGAAGACAGTAGACGGAGAAACGTAGAACAAGGGAAATCGGTTATACCCTTTGGCCCGTGTTGTCTTCGTAAACTTCCACTTTGTTTCGGTATCGTTTCGACGATTCAAGAAAACGAATACTTTCTCGCGCGCGCCTCTTTCTCCCCTTCGTTCTCACTTCACACTTTTCCACATATCACGGTGCTCAACCACAAACACACGGACACACAGGCGTAGAGATCGTTGCGCCTCTCGAGTATAATATACACAATGTAGTGTGTGCACGCGCGACGCGCGCGCGCGCACCTTCGGGCGCAATAATAACGATGCACGTAATCGCGGAGTATCGCATTCCCTGGACACGTTATTCGTAGCTCGCCTTTCTGTCGGTGAGAATCGACGTTGACGTCGAATCACGGGGTGTATCAATTGTAGAGAAATAATAACCGCAGGAACGATCACAACAATGAAAACTCTCCTCTTCCTTGCAGCGCGACGCACTGGACATCGCCTTCGGGTCCGGGATACGAAACATTTGGGGGGTTCTCAACCTGTCGCGACGCGATCTATGTATCTGCGAACCTTAAAGCCGCGTTTATGGGATCTATTCATTTAACGAAGCTTTGCGTACCGAATCCAAAGCTGGATAAATATTCTTCTTAAATGATAAGGTAGTACGCGTCAAATTTTTTTGTTTAGATCTAAATGTCGCAGTGCGATAATAAATGGCGTTTGATTGTTGGTTGTTCTATTAAAGGGGAACGAGTTCCTTGCGATACATTACGTTGGATACATGCACGCCGGTTCGTTGTACATAACATTAACATTTTCTATTCCCTAACACGAATATTCAGGATGTTTGTGTGAATGTAAGTGATACTTGAGTAAATTTAGTATTTGAAAAAAGGTTATAAAAAGTGTCTAAAACAGGACTGAAGGTATGGTATTGAAATAGTTGTCAAGAAGAAAGCTGAAAGAAGTTGTATACAGTGTTATGGGAATGGCTTTTGACCTTTAGACACTTTCATCTTAAATTAAAATAATTACTTTATGGGATCAAATTTGTTTTATATTTTACCATTGGTATCTCATGGATTAAGACTGAAGATATAGTGTCTGTTACGCCTCAAAACTGTATGATGAAACATAGGTGTTCTTATAGGATGTGTATTCTCAAGGATCGCATAAACCTATACAAGAATTCAGAGAGTACATCTTCCATCATCGTTACATTACTTTTTGATACATCTTCTCTGTCTTATTCAGAATATTTCAAGATGCAAAACAGCATTCTTTTATATAAAGCTATTTTATTTGTTATATTTTTATGTTACATTTCAAATATCATTTTATTTGTATTTATTTGACGTTCCTTTCTTCAACATAATATTCCAGATACTTGAATAGCAAGTTATTATCCAGCTTTGAATTCGTCCGCCGTCTCTTTCCCGTTTCACGAAAACCCCGCCTCGTTAGTATTGATCCACGATCAACAGGGTTTATTTGATATATGTACCTTTGAATTTCGATTATATTGAAAGAGCGCGAAAAGTTTACGATAAAACGTTGAGCGCACGTTTCAAGGCTCCCCCCGAACGACGCTCTCGCTCAATGACGTAGTTCTGCGTAGTTCCGTACAACTTTGAATAGCAGGGGCAACGATTCGATCGATTAGAACCATGTATAGAGACGAATATTTTCTTTCCTACCCTTCTAGTCCCTGTGGGCACTCGCGGTCGTTATGAATTACCGAACAAGACCAAAGTAGCAAGCACACGCGAGTGTGCACCTTGCTACGTTTCGATTTTCACACTGTTTACGACAGCCTTTACATGGCCTTCTATTCTACCGTGCTATACATCAAACACAGTAAACACGTCGACGTTTCACAGCAGGCTGAGATTGTGCGACTGCTGCGATCGATCGCAAGAGCCAGAAACACGAGCGAACGTATACATATATCTATAGGCAGTGTAGAGACGAGACCCTTTGTCGACACCATTACGTCGAAAGTATACGATAGAATCTTCTCCATAACCGTACCGTTTATTCGTAACTTACTTATTGATCTTACGATCAGGAAATAGTTCGATTAGTATCTCTTCTTTCAACGTGAAGCTGAATGGAAATCCATTGAAATGATCGATGAGCAAAGTTTTTAAAATATGAAACTTTTCGTGTAGACGGTGCTGCCACGAGTGTTTCAAATCGATAGCGCGGGAGACATTTCCGTTAGGTGATCGATCGCGTTCGTGTGTCTCGAAATTACAGAAAAGATCTCTGAAAGTTTGACTCTTTTTTTGATACTTTGCGTCTATAAATGATCGATTAAAACTGTGAACAATTCGGTTGTCTGACTCGTGTAAGTTAAGTTTACGTGTTGAGAGATGATTCATGGCACGCTACACAAAACTATCGTATCTTTCGAAGGAAATAAGAGACATAATTTTCCGACCAGCGTAATAATACAAACGATTCATGAAATATAAAATGTTTATTTCAGAATTAAAGTTCTTCTAACTTTGCATCAACAACTCCTATTAGCGTATGTATAAATGATTGTATTTACAACATATATTACTAGAAAAAGGTCTTAGTATTATATCAATGGTTGTGTTTGATGATGTTTGATACTGTTCAATTCCCTCTCATACTTTATACACGACGCCATTTTTACCTGAGTAGACTACTTTCTTTTGTCTGCTGTACATAATCCTATTTGTCATGTGTCCTTAAACTAGAAGTTTCAATATTGGGGTATCAGTTGAATACATAGCACCGTACAGGCTGTTAGATAAAAAAAAAAAAGGCTTATTATTCATCCGTTCACAACACATTTAAACTGCTTATGCGTTCATCGCTCTAGAACTGTTGAGGATATACTTGGAATGAAATCACCCTATTTGTACGAAAATATATAAAGTGACAACAGTATCCAAATAATGCATAAATCTATTCTTTAAGTAAAACTCATTTTACGCAATTGATAAATCTATTTAATTTAATCATTTGCTTTCCACATTTTGTGTTTTAGTAGAAACAATTTTTTTACTCAATTTTATCAACTTTATGTTATATTTATAACATTTTAAAACTTTTATAGAAATTGTGACAATTCTAGTTATTCATCAATACTGCATAATCATTTTCCGATTACTATGCAATCTTACGATATATATAAAAATTTACTATGTACAAAATCGATCATATACAATTTAAAAATACTCGTTTTCCTTTAATATCCATTACTTACTTTTTATATTAGTTTTTGTTTTAATAATATATAACAACACGTTCAATGTGGAAATTCTATACAATGTCAAGACATACTGTCGTTTTATAGTGGTTTATAACAGAAATAACTAAATAATAATAAATATTAAATTCATAATTCGAATTACTCTGAAACTAACGTTACTGTATAAAAAAAAGCGAGTTTTGTTTCAATTTATTGGAGAACATTATGTGGAAAGCAAATTGAACATTTTGTGTATACACATGTACACTTTTAAAAAACATTTGATTGTTGTAAAAACCCGACTCAATTATACATAACATTGGCAGCTTTTAAAAAGCATCCATATATTAAATATACGATTATGCCCTGTAAAATAAAAAATTAAATTTTCCGATATATATCGAGAGTAGTTGCAATATGCAATTGAAAATCTTATAGGTTCTTAAAAATACTCTTTACAAAAATAAGCAGTTAGTTATGAAAAGCTTGCGTAAGTACTATTACAATGCTTCGTAATGTGGTATTGAAAAAGATAAACAAATTAAAGTATAAGGATACAATTTTCAATCGAGTTCTTTTATAAAACTGAACATTGTATACGTTAAAAGCTTTTTGTAGAAAACGCAGGGCTACTAATAAAATTAAGATGAATGCAAAACATACTCATATGAAATCACTTAGATGTTCTTTGCGCTGTTATGTTTTTAAGTTGTTGTTTATATATTTCTGCTTCTTCTTCTTTCTTTTGAAGCCGCTTACGGTACTCGGCTGCTTGTCTTCGAGCTTCCGCTAATTGTCTATTCAGTACGGCAATGTCCATTACCGGTTCGTTATTATCCGTATTATCCTCTTCGGTAATTTCTTCTATATCGTCGTCTAATTGTAGAATGATTGGCTCCATTTTGGTGGGAGAACTAATTATCTTGTTCTGTTAAAATCATATGATACAAATGAGTTTAATATCATAAATACCCAATGAAAGTTATCGCATTTATTTTATTGTTGACTTCGTACCTCCGGCGAAGATATTATGTTTTTCGATTGCGTGAGTGTTGGTATGGGTGTAGTACTGGAAATAGAGGAAATGAATAATTTTCCAGTTTTATTATCCACAGAAGATCTTTTTAATATATTTGGTCCTCTGGATGTTAAGGTAGGTGTATTATGATTTAAAATTTGATCTGCTCTAATTGCTATCACTTTTCTAGGAGTTCCTTTTTTCCCAGCTACTTGAAGTCGTTTCACTCCTATCGAAGAATTTCTTGTTAAGTTCAGAGCAAGTTTACCAGCTTCTGCGGAACGAAATTATTAATGTTGACAAAATCGAATGTAAATTATAAAATTTACATCACTTTTGAATATTTCATACCCGTTAAAACGACTGTTCTTCCGCTTTCCATGGCATTTTCTACAATGGAAGAATCATTATCTACAGGTATCATTGTGATTCCATGAGCTTCTAATAATCTAAACTGCTTGTTCACTCCTCCAACAGCTGTAATATCTTTACGCTTTTTACTGTTAATATTATTCGGATTGGCAATTTCATCCATGTCTTCTACTTCTTTTTCTTGGTCGGCATCGGTATTTGGCTCAACGTGAATTTGTTGAAAGATCATTCGTGGCTTTTTTCCCACTTGTACTGAACATTTCATAAATATTAATAACGTCGTTAATATTTATGTCATTTTTCACAGAGATGAAATACTATACCTTGTGTTATCTTTCTTCTAGGTTGCGACGGTTGTTGCGACAATTCAAATTTCTGTTGTTCTTCCTCCCTTTCGGATTCCAACTGTATTAAATTATGAGTTGCAACTTCTAGTTCCGCTGAACTCACTTGATTTTGCTGATGAGCTCTTATGCCTATGATCTCTCGCTCTTGTTGTAATATATCTACCAAGTCCAATCTGTCGTGCTCCAATGCAAGACTAATCGGTGTTTTGTCAAATTTACTAGTGGCATTTGCATCTGCTCCATGTTCCAATAGAACGTGCATTACTTCTATATGTTCTCGTTCCACTGCCCAGTGTAAAGGAGTCATTTTCAACTGTGAACATTGTTTTGATTATCTACACTATGGACTTTTATATATACAATTATTATTCTAATTACCATGTCTCTACTATCAACATCTGCACCATAATTAAGAAGTAATTGTGCCATCTGGTGATGGCCTTCGTATGCAGCCATATGTAAAGGTGTTCTGTCAACTTTTGTTCTTGCATCCCTTGAAATTCCAGCTCTAAGTAAAACCTCTGCGGTATCTGTATGATTATTTTGTGCAGCAAAATGTAACGCGCTTGTGCCCAACTAATAAAAAAAAACTTGGCTCATGTTCTATCATGTAACAACCGTTTCATCTATTTTATTTTATTTAAATATATACCCAGTCTGTAGTAAAGGGTGCACCTCTGCACATTAAATCACGAACAGTATCCGTGTCTCCATATTTTGCACTAAACAACAGCTGTTTTCCCAGCTCCACTATCGACAAGGCATCTTGGGATCTCGCACGATGAGACACGTCACAGGAAAGAATTTCAACCTAAAAAACATGTACAGTTCAAATAATGTGTACAAAAGATAAGGAATAATAAAGATTGTTACAATACAGTGGATGTACATACTGGAATAAGGGTGTCAGAGTCCAGACCCTCGATATCAGTAGTGCAAATACTTTCAGCTTGCATTTTTGTGTACCGTACTCAATCCTATTCTTTTCGATGCACACTAAAATCAAATGATCCATAACAGGTGATTGCATTTGGGCTATATTCAAAGTAAATGGGACTAGTTGTGACCATTCCATTTTTCACTCTGAGTAATTTCACTATTGTTCGACCTTGAGGTGCCGGAATCGAAAGTAGGTCGCAAAAATAAAAATTTAATTTCAATTCGGCAGAATTATCGCAATCTACTCGTTTTTGCCTACTTCTTTGGAAACGTAGCGTGTATATTTTTCGAAATTTTCTTCAGTACAGGATGTTTTTATTTTGCCATTTCAGATTGTGAGGAACTTCCTGTTCCTGTTCATTAAACGGAAGTCCCATGCCATAGGCCCCGTGTTTTGTGCCCAAAAGTGATTCAAATCGACCAAAAATAGCGTGGAAGGAGGATATACTTACGGCCAGTACATTATTCTTGCTTTTTAGCGATTTTTCCTGCTGTTTTCCGACTCGCACACTTCCTTTCAGGAATTGTTCCTCCCCACAGCCTTCTCGATTTACCGTCTTGGTAAAGTTTCATGAAAATGGCGACACCTTGGCGCCATTCCTAATACAATTTTATTATCATTGTAAATAGCCCTTAACATTACTGCAAAAGTGTTTTTCCAGTTAAAACTGTTGTGTCATATAGAATAACCTATTCGTCCACTGGATTTTTATCGTTCTATTCGAAGGGATAATATGGAATAGTAAAATATGTTCGCAGCATGGCAAATCTACAGCGCCACGTTGCGGTGTATGTAGGAAACACGTTGCATTAAATAGGTTAGGTATATATTAAACTTAAGTAGGGTTAGGTTATATTACAGAGTTTTCTTCTCAGAATGTATTTCGAAATAGTTAAAATAATAAAAATAATACAAATTACAGATACATAATGGATAGAGTGGGTATTGAGACATCTACGATCGATCGTTTACGTCTGATAAACAGAAAATATTCGTTAGAACCAAAGCGTAACGTATATATTATTAAACGTAGTTTATGACACAGTACGTCTGCGTTTAGTACATGTTTTTTTTACGAATGTATCTGCATAAGATCGAAAGGATTTTGATTCATTTTTTACCTGTGTGGGTAACAAAAGAATAAAAGTTTCCGGTTGCAGGTAATCAACACGAGCTATATCGATCTTCAAGTAAGACATTTTTCCGTTTTTTACTCGTAACAATGAGCGTGTCCCATCGTTGCTTGCAATACACGTCATCGTTTAGTATTCGATTACTATATACCTGATTCGATTCAGATCTTTATCAGTGAAATGGAAAAGGTAAACGATGCGAATCGTTAAAAGGAAAGTACATTTTAGTTTAGTGATCATATATCTACATTAATATTCATGAGATTTTCTTTCTCCTCTCCTCTTGCTCCACGGATCTCCACTTTCTCCGACTTTTCGGTCATTCGCTTCTGTTTTCATCTACGTTCTTTCGCCTTGTGGTTGACCTAAAATTGCAGAGATAACGGAGCCGTAAGGTGCAACAACAATGAATATCTTTGTGTACCTCGGTGCATCTCGTTACCGAGATGCAGTTTAGAAGAATGTGTACACGCGCGAGGAATGCGCTCGCGTCTGCTCTCTACGAAGGGTAACTAGTCTAGGTCGGACAGTTATCGATCGTTGGTTATGGCTCTCTGTCACAGTTGATAATATCGAGGCTGGATTGATGGCTCGTATATCAACTGAATTATCTAAGTGAGGTTAGTTTGTCTCGAGTAAATAATATTCAGTTGATGAAATTGTAAATTTGTTAAATATAATCGATACGACGGGCTAGAGAATGTCTTTGATGCTTACAACGGGTGTTTACTTTTTGGTAATTGCACCAACTCTTGTAATCTAACGAAATATTAAAAATAAGTCGAAGGAAATGTAGTAGTGGTTGTTAGCGGGTTGTTAGTTCAAACTAACAAAGAAGAATTTAGATCGAAGCTCGAATGAAAGAAGCAATTGTTCCGTATTTTCGATGTATTTCAGGGGAATAGAGGAATCATTTTCTGTTCGATTGTATCGCGAATTATGACGTAGCCTGTACAAAAGCTGGGTCAGGAAAGCATTGCATATATGCGGACCGTACTATCGGGTGCGTGCACCGCCACATCGCGTTAACCATTCCTTATATCGTAATCTAAGGAGGTGGCTGGCCGCACGGTCACGGGGGTGAGCTTGCATGCTTTCAAACAGAGTAGGTTAGAGGGTTCGTGAATTTCTCATGAAGGAAAATGCAAGGCTCGTCGTTGTCGGCTGTCGCGGCAAGAACTTTCCCTGCGACAAACGGCCGATGAGCGACGAATCACGCTACGAACATCCACCGATATCATCATTAAACTTATTTTCTTTTTTTATTCCTTGTTTTGGTCCCGCAGTCTGAAACCGTGTTAACACGTTGATCACCACGTGTGTTGATCACCATATGTGGGTGACAGTGCTTTTCACTGAATAACTAAAAATCTTAATTCTGAAAGTTAAGCATGAAAGAAAATGAATTTAAGTTACAAAAACAAGTACCGCGATAGATGTTTGATCACGTAGTCTCCGATAGTCTGAATAATATTTAATCTTAACAGAAATTTTCAAGAATATTTCTCTGGCAGTGAACGCGTTAACCAATGTACCGATATTTTTGCACTGGCTAATTTTCGAGGTTTTTGGTAAATAGAAAATAATAAAGAATAGAATAGGGAATGTCCGGTTACCGCAGTAAAAATATCTGGCACGATCGAGCCAGGGAACAACAATCGGGATCGCGTCCGACAAGGTTGCGCTTTGCGTGGTCGCGCGCTAGGAGAACCTAGCAAAATAACTAAAAACTGTTCAAACGAGCATCTAGCTGTGCAAGCCCGCGTGTTTTCAATGCGATGGTCAGGAAAAAACTGGAGCCCTCGGGCAGGATTTTCAGTCGTCTGGTACGGTCGCACGCTCCTTACTCGGACACTGTGACTGGATCGGAATTAATTTTCATTATGCGACTAGCGAGTGTGCACTTGCATTCAACGGTGTATCCATTTACGTTCTCGTAAATACCTCTGCATAGAGTGTTCCGTAATGTACAGCAGTGGATTAGAATACTTTGGTACGAGTCTTTGTTAAATATGCCTGCATTTAATTGAACGCTCGTGCGTTACAGTACTTGCGTATACAATTATAGAGAGACACATTGATAACCGGAGATATCAAGGATATACGTACACATATTGGGCTGTCTGAAAAGTTCATGCCGATTTTTAGTAGGCGGTACAGGTCTGTATATTATAGCAGAATGGATGAAAACAAATAAAATGTGTACGTTCCTTAACAGGTGGAAAGGTTGTGGAACAAAATGGTACGCATATAATTCACTAAATATACAGGGTGTCCCAAAAGTCGGGGAGGTGCCGGAAATGGAGGGTAGCTGAGACGATTCTGAACGACAATTTCCTTTGCAAAAACGTCGGATGGGGCTTCGTTAAGGAGATATTAAGCGAAAACCCCGACCAATCAGAGCGCGCGTAG